TTGAAAACTAAAAATAAATTTATATATCAAAATTTCCCGCGAATATGCCACCTTCTATCATGGTGTTGGCGGCGAGGGGCGTGACGTCAGACGCCGTTTGCGTTTACGTGACAACGAGTATAAAATATTTGATTTTTCATAAGAAATTTATGCAATATAATAAGTATAAAAGTATGATTATCGTTAAAAAAAAATAATATGTATTTATTTTTGTTTACTGTCTGTACAAATATTAAAAATTGTCAAAGCTTACTTATAAATAAAGTACGCCAAACTGACATTATCACATATGTTTTATACCAATATTATAAAGGAGTAAATTTCTTACTTTATTTGTTTCTATGGTAATCTTCGATAATACTGGTTCGATCATGAAAATTCACTACATCATACGCATGTGATATAGAGAAAACAGCTAGTTGTAAATAAGGATACAGTATTAACTTCGAACAAACATTATTACTCGTGAGATACGTGCATTTACAGTTAATTAAACAGTTAATTAAATAAAAAAGAACTTCGCGTCGTATCGTAATTAAATGTAAAATACATATTTTATTGTGTCATTACATTCGCAAACGAACGATATATCAATACCGCGAAACTTAAATGTGACAAGTTTTGAGTAAGCGCAAAAATTACACTCATAATTATTTAATATAAAAATTTCAATTATAACCAACACAATTTATTTCGACAGTAAAGAAAACTTCTTTAGAATTTTTGTTCAGTCAATTTATACAAGACAGACTGTTAAACTATCCAAAAAAAAAAACCTTATGGTACATTTTCGACTTTCGCAATATTGATATAAAAGCGTCGATATTCGAAATATACAAAGATGACATAGCCGGGACACCAATGAATAAGATATATGAATAATAAATAAAAAAAAATGGAGCTATCCAATATGACAATTACTTAAATGCAAAATATGGAGAAGTAATGAATATTCAAACAAGAATTGGTAAAAAAACAAGGATTGTAACTGTAACTCTGTCTCGACTATGTCTCTTGTATAGGAAAATTTTTAAAGCAAGTGTACATTAAAGCATATTTTAATATTTTAAGAACATTAGGGTATTGTTTGTAACATAACTGTATTATAATGTAGTAACTGTATTACAAGGTGCATCTCTGTGTGCGCATGAATAGTCCTAATGTTGTTGTAGCAACATAAATAGATTTTACAGTTAGTAGATGAGATCATGAAAAAGTAAACAAAAGTGTGATGACGTCACGACAATACATTTTATACAATTCTTGACACAAAAAAAAATTGATTATTCATGCAAAATAAGTAGGAGTTATTTTCACCAATTTTTTTTTAATGTTAAGAAACAGTTTATAATAATAGTAATAATAGGCTACTCTGCTAGTATTGTATTATAATATCTACACTATAAAATTTTAAGCAACGAAACCATTCATAAGTTAAAATTTGGTTAAAAAAGGAATCAAGAAAATACCTTAGCTATTAATTGAGATAGTAACTTTTAAAATGTTGATTATACTCTATTTGTGTCGTCAAATCTTAAACTATAAGTGCACCACCACAGGTGATGACAAGGTCAAAATGATTCTAACTTTACCACATAATTTTTCTAATAATAATTAATAAAATTTTAAACTAAAAAAAATCTTTAGAATATTTATCAATGAATTTTCTATTTATTAAAAAAATATAAAATCTTTCGGATGCTAATACCCTATTAAAAGGAACACTATTCTAGAACATCCACAGTCAAAAACATTCATATATTCTGATAAGTCAAAGGTGAAATGATAAAATGAGGTGAAGATGTTATGACTAAGATAACCAACATAATTTACATTAAGGAGACAAACAGACAGATATTTTAAATAAGTATAAATAGTTTCTTTAATGTTTATTGTATAGTGTGAAATGAGCTGTTAATTTTCATATGACACGTGTAACTATCAGAAGTGGCTGAAGATAGTGACTTGATATTAGAAATTTATTACGGTATCAAATTGTGTAAGTCACATACAAGACAAGTCTATAGAAGAGTACAAATATTACAATAATAATCAACAATAGTTTGTACAAATATAATCACAAGGAAACTTGGATTTAATGAACCTTGACTCATAACGAATGGGTTTTTATGCAGTCTCCGATAATAGTACATGGTGGTAATGATTTTACATGTTTGTAGAGTTACTAATAGCAATTTAAAAGGTAGTTATATAATATAAACAAATACACTTCTACAGAATTGACCAGAATGAGCAATAATAAGTCAATATAGTGTTTCGCCTCAGTATGAGAGATAATCGTGTAGTTTATTTTGAGATTATGAAAAGTTATCTTAAAATTCTCATTAAATCCCGTGTCTGCGACGTAAGTTATATGAACCCGAAGGTCGTTTATTCTATCACGATGCTTCTATTTTATTAAAAAACTAGCTGTAGTGCGGCCGCCTAAATCTCTTGCGATGCAAGATCTTAGCGATGTTATGGCGATTTATCACCTTATTTTATGAATAATAAAAGGTTTAATATGTTTAATTTGCGATAAAACTTTGTTGAGATTTTTTTTATGTTCGGTACAGTTTTTGAGATAAAAGGGAGAAAATCACGTAATTCTCATAAATGCCATACCTAATACAACATCAACAGGGAATTTCGGTGAATAATTATCATGTATAGAGTCATAAAATCATTATAATAAATGAATAATATGTATCAATTATTAGTATATTAGTATACTGGCAGACACGAGAATTTATGAGTCAACATTTAAAACGTGTATACGAGTTTCCAGTTTAATATTTTTCATTCATAGGTTGATCCCTTTTTTCTTCATGAAGTAAAACCCAAGTAATTATTTGTTAATTATCACCAAATCATATTTTTAAAATAAAATCATATTTCTTTGCGCTTTTGTAAAAAAACTAAGTTGATCGTTTTTATACGAGGGTCAAACTGAAAGTTCTTAGAAAATCAATAACTGATTACATTAGCCAGTTATTAGTTTTATTATATCTTTTCAAAATATTGTCTATTCACGTCAATACACCGCTGCATGCGATGGAACCACTGGGAAAAGCACTTTGCCCACTCGTCGTTAGGGGTCTCTTCAATGGCATCGCGATACGCAGCCACCGCTTCTTCAGCATTCATAAACCGATTTCCTTTAAGTTTTTCTTTAATTTTTGGAAATAAATAAAAATCACAAGGCGCGAGGTCGGGGCTATACGGCGGGTGACCCAGTAATTCAACGTTTGATGTCGCCAAATAGTCGATCGTTCGCTTGGCGGTGTGCGACGAGGCGTTGTCGTGGTGAAGGAGGATCCTACTGCGAGGTCGTTTCTCTCGAACTTTTTCCAAGACAAGTGGCAAACAATTGGTAGTGTACCATTCTGCAGAAACTGTTTTTTGATCCTCTAACACAATTGTTGCAAAATGACCTATCCTTCCAAAGAACGAGGCCACCATTTTTTTTCCCGCACTTCGATCTCTCTTCACTTTAGTTGGCAACTCCTCGAAAGGAAACACCCACTGAGCAGATTGTCTTTTGGTTTTAGGATCATAACAGTAAATCCAGCTTTCGTCACCTGTTAGTATGTCGAACACAGCATTTGAGTCACCTCCGTTAAATCTTTCAATCATTTTACGACACCAATCCACACGATGGAGTTTTTGAGCCTCAGTCAAATTATGAGGTATCCACCGGGCGCAAAGCTTCCTGACCGCTAAATGTTCGTGGAGGATTTTGTGCACTTGACTCATACCGATGCCTAAGCTTGTCCGAATCTGTTGATAGGTCACTCTTTTGTCAGTCTCTATCATACGCCGCACAACACAGATGTTATCTTCAGTCGTCGCCGTAGAAGGCCGTCCCTCACGTAAATCATCAGTGAGATTAGTGCGACCACGTTTAAACTCATTAAACCAGTTGTAAACAGTCGCACGAGATGGGGCTTCATCGTGAAAGGCCAATCGTAGTCTATCATAACTTTCTTGTTGACTTAAATGACATCGAAAGTCATAAAAAATCATTGCACGAAAATTTTCTCGTGTTAAATTCATGATGACGTGACACAGACAATTTTCAATTTGCCGCCAAATCGTAAAACAAATGACAAATGAATGAAATATATACTCAGTAATATTGGCAAAGAGTTATATTTTCAAATTTTAGAATTATTTTTTTATTATATTGTTTATAAGTGGCCAGTTCTAAGAACTTTCAGTTTGACCCTCGTATATATGTACATATCGAATGAGTTGAAAGAAAGAATTTTAGAATTCTTTGTATGCATGCATAATATGCGAGATCTAATGAAAAGAACTCGTTTCGTTCGATTTGCTATGAGATTTTTAACTATTTCTTATAGAACTTTTGTCAATGAAAGCTTCTGAAAAACAAAGGCACTACGTATAATTCGTCCGCAATTGTTGCGATGGGTGGAATGGCGTTCGCATCCTATTATACCCATTACGATTGTTATACGAATCTGAACTTAACCGCAATTTATTTTTTATTTATGAATACACTTGTTATCCTGTCTATTAAATATTTTTATAAAGTTTTGAGAAAGTTTTACAAAATAGGTAACAACAAATATTTATACTATCCAGCTATCCAAATTATATTGTGCAACATTGTAAAGTAAAGTATTTAAAGCGATTTTTTTATTTATAGTTTTTAAAAATTCAGGACAATGAAAGCATCCTGAATTTTTTAAAACGAATTAATATCTGTATCAGACCGACTTATCAGTAGGAGCATAATGGCGAACATCCATTAACCCGCACGGGTCGCAACGCACGTACGATATGCCACGAATTTTGAATAGTGCTGACATTTTCGAAATAACCCTGTATAATTCAAATATATTTTAGATAATTTTTATTATTGAGACAAATAGACAGTTCACTGCTTCTTTTTTTAACATAGAGATATTTTAACATTACGTTCCACTGTAACTATTATAAAAATGGTTTAAAAATACTTATGCCGTATATGTTACCTTGGAAATGTCAACACCAGTGACCCCCTTGACGAGGTCGGGAATACACTGTACGATGCTGAGAACTTCGCCCGTTAGTTTGGCGGCGCCCACCTCACCGCCGCCACATGACACCATCGTCACCTTACGAGCCTGCGACAGTGGCGCTGCCACCTCCGCAGCAACCTATGTACAATCATTACATCAATATATCAAGTAAAAAGTGCCCTATTCAAATAAAGCGAGGATGAAAGAATGATGGTTTTTCGCGGGATTGCTACTATGTACTTTGTATTTGTTGAGATCCCGATATTATACTCCGAAATATCGAGAACTCATCGAAAACTAGGATTTATTTCTATGTGAAAAGTAAAAAGAACTTAATTTATTGATAATAATCAATTGAGATTTTGTACTTTTCTCAATTTAGAAACAAGCCGAATGTACTAGTAAAGTTTATGGCGTATTGAAGAGACACATTCATGTATATGGACCGTGCCTTGTAGCGCTTCTATCCTCTATACTTACCCCGCAACTAGCATGAGGAATATATAGATAGGTAGAAGAAACTCACATATACATATTAAATACAAGTAAAAAATAAGGTTCTATTCCAGGTAACCGTCATTAAAGATCAAATGAAAACAATAAAGAATAAATGCATTTGAGCGAAATCACAAACTGAAATAAACAGAAACCATTTAGATACAACAAGCAAGCAATGGGTTGAAGTATTACAACATTTAAATATACGTTTGAGATATAAGTGAAGTCCTATATGATCCTTAGTAGTTGTACCTACTTTGAATGGTGACAAGATCTCACCTAGCAACACGTATTGTATTAGTTATAACATAACGTCTCTTCATAGTAACGTAGGGAACAAACCTTGGGCAGTGTATCGAGCATCATATCAACCATCGCAGCAGAACCGTACTCCTTCCACGCCTCCGCCTTCTTGGACATCTGCTCAGCATCCGCTGCCGCCTTTGCTTTTATGGCAAACGCTTCCGCCTAAAACAAAAAGGGCCTATCATTAACCATGTAAATACAATTCAATAATCTATCTATGTATGTATAAAAATTAATAGCCAAAATTAATGTACGCGCATAACTATCCAAACGACTACACAAAATTAATTTCCTTATTGTCAGAACAAGGTTTGCATATACATTTATAAAAAATGGGCATATGGCGGTACGAAGTTCGCAGAGTCAGCTAGTAGATATATAAAAATGAATCCCTAATTCCTTTTGTCACACCATTATAAATGATCGGATGGACCGCTAATACTAATTTATTGTGTTAGTTATTGTCTTTTTTCTTACAAGATGGTGGGAGGATGGAAAGACTTGATAGTTTTTACGTAATATTATCAAAATTTGCAAAAGTCTATGGAAAGAACTCAATAGGGGTGTAGTTTTTATTTTTATAGATATGGATAATATATATCTAATAAAAATCAGTACCTTTCATATAACAAGCTCAAATTTAAAAATAAGATTTATTCTCAAAGTTTCCAGCGAAAACGCCAACTTCGTTTTCATGTCATGGCGTCGCTATGTCGTCAAGGCCCTCTGAAACTATTATCGTCCTATGTATGCATAAGGTTTAATTCTCTAAGTTCTGATATGATTACGAGACGAGTGACAACACTAGAAAAAATAAATGTTTACATTTTCGTTTACTGCCGTATTTGAGATAAAAGAACTGCACTGAGTAATGTCAAAAGTGCCGCGTGCACGTTTATAACAAAATGCATTAAATTATTGGTGCAAAAATCTGTAACATAATCACCTAATTTTAATGAATAACAAAAGAAGAAAATAAATAGCTTCATTATTTAACAGCATACCTCTCCTCGTACTTTCACAGCCTCAGCCTCCGCCTCTGCTTCCAAAACCGTCTTCAATCTGTGAGCCTCTGCTAACTTCTCTAATTTGAACTTTTCGGCTTCAGCTGGTCTGATTACAAAATTAACAACTACTTCATGATTATGTTATAGAATATGCTAATGAACTAAAATCAATTGTTAGTGAATAAAAATACCTATTGTCTTAAATCTATCTATTATTATCAGAATAGCATCAGCAGTAGTGAGAAAAAACAACTTTATTTTTTGTTGAAAAAACATAAAATGGTATTTAGGGCCATTGTTATTGTTTAAATTCGTTTTTTTTTTCAGTAACTATCTATAAGAAAATAAGTATATAGCTAGTTTTAGTCAATATGGATTCTAACATCTTCCAATTTACTTTTAAATTGGAACAATAATTTAATTGCCACAATATTTAAAAATCTATCAATTAAACGAGAATTTCCCCTTTACTTGTAATATTGGCAATGTAAGATTTCTTCTACTAATCCAAAAAGGTGGTCAGGTATTAAAAGAAGAAAAAAAGTTCTAATATCAACTCTTTGATTTTTTTACGAAATCTGCATTTTATTATTTCAATTTTTTGCAACAGAATAAATCTGTTTTTCTTTCAACTCATCATCAGTACGCACCTGCGCACGGTGGAATCTAATTCCTTTTCGCGTCGCTGCACCTCCCACTTCTGCACGGCGATCTCCTGAGTGCGTTCCACCACTGCTATTTGCATCTGCTCTTCCTTTATGCGTTGCTTCGTTTTCGCTGCTTGCAACTCGTAGGCCATCTCGGCTTCGGCCTAAATAAATAATAGATACAACTGCTTTACTTAAAGCAAGCACTAAACATTTTAATAATGTACCAACAATAAAACTAAGCGGCGTTCCGTTTCGTGTAATTTCGCAGTTTAAGTACATTGGCCACTGGTCACTCCGTAACTCTCAATGATGACTCTGGCTGTTGCGCGATGTACTGATGAAGTTAAAGTGACGCTTTTTAAAGCATACTGCCTGTCTTTTTACACATGCAGTCTGTGGGCACTGTCCAATACAACAACAGGTTCAGAGTGCGGTTTTGCCATGCCTCGTCTATGCAGACGCACGTGTCGATGATTTCTATGTCACCATACGTAAACGTGCCTCACCACTCTTGGATAAGGTAAGCAATAGTCCGAATGAAGTTGGCTACAAATGAATGAGATAGTCCCATATTGACATGCTGGATGCAGTTGCATACTAGCTTTTAATTGTATTGTTGTCTTTTACTTACTAATATTAAATTAAAACTCTATTGTTACTAACATTAAATATGAAGTCATATAATATTATTATTATATTCAATTTATATTACATAAAACAGTTATTATATGATATTGGATACTAGAAACTCTAGTGGATGCTGTAGTGTAGATACTTAGAAATCTATATATAACTCAAAGGTGACCGACTGACATAGCGATCTATCAACGCACAGCCAAAATTAGTGGACGGATTGTGCTGAAATTTGTATCGTGGACTGCAGGTAGGCGTTATGACCTAGGCATCCGCTAAGAAAGGATTTTGATCAATTCTACCCCCAAGTGGATAAAATAGGGGATGAAAGTGTGTATTATACTTTGTCAATTTTAAACCGAACGGGCTGAGACTGTGCATGCATAAAGCTACTATGACGTAGGCATCTCTTGAGACAGGATTTTGATGAATTCCACCCCTAAGGGTCAATGCTGCTCAAACTTTACGGGGAAAAGCTAGTTGTTAATGTAAGGTGCGAATGACGCTTCGCCAAAATAAACTATCAAAAACAGTGCTATTATGTTAAAATTCAGCGTTGAACAAAGCTAATCCAATTATAGCATCAGAGGTTAAATCAAATAAAGCTACTTCCAACAGTTACTAAAATTTTGTCTTGCCGTCAAAACATGGTAATGTTAGGAACTTATAAGAGTGCTCAAGTAAAATCCGATCACCACCTTCTTCGTTTGTACTTCCACGTCGTAAGCGGATTTCTTGAGTTCAAAGTCCCTTTGGGCCTTCGCTATTTCGGTGTCGTTGAGGAATCGAGCCGCCATGCGTTGTTCCTCCGCCATCGCCTCTTTGATCTTCGCCTCAGCTTGAGCCTCCGCCTCGCCGATGCGTGCGTCTCTCTTCACTTCAGCTGTACGCGCCATGCCAAGTGCTTTTAGGTATCCCTAAGTAATATACATTCAAAACAATAAATACATTTTAAACATGACATACAACCAGCCTCCAAAATTAGTAGCTAAAGCTATAAATGCTCTTGCTCTATGGTCGCTTGGTTGCATTTGTCTTGTGTCTCTGGCTTGTCCGGCACTTCCGGTTTGTCTGGCTTAGTTTTTAAGGAAGTATGTGAGACAACGAAAGTAGGTACGAAGGAACAACACCTAGAGCCGAGACAATTTTGAAAAGTCCTTTTTGTACATTGACTCGTCCAGAAATCCAATACCTAATGGATGACGACACCTTGAAACCGGCTTGCGCATCACTCGGCTACGGCGGTCGTCAGTATGATATTTTTTTACTATATTCTAATATAATGATAACTCTAGCAAAATCAACGATAATTAACCCATATTACACATTATATCATATCACATACATTAATTAGATCTCAAATTAAGTAGCTTTTAGCACTTTCATTATGGAATCCGAAACACCCAGCTTCGAGAAAATATAGAAAAGTTTCCTTACTACATTGACCCGACTAGAATCATAGCCAGCAACACTTTGATACCTTGCAACCGGTTCAACGTTGGCAACACTGACACCTCGCAACCGGCGTAGGAACCGAATTTACTTGTCACCGCACATGATGCGCATATTGGAATAGTAAAAATTCCACAAATTCATTTTTTAACAAACCTTACTTTATTACAAATACAAGTACATTTAAGCACAATTCAGATTTCGCTATCAACAGAATAAAACATCGCTATGAGCACTAAACAAGCATCTTTTGTACTCTGTCAAATATCTAGTACTTAAAAGTAAAATCACAAAAAAAAAATTGAAGCTAAGCGTAATAATAATAACGCATAAATTATACACCGTTTGTGCATAAGCATATGTTTTCTTACTATTATTTGACGTTTGCACGCTGTATTCAAAGCATTATTACTATAGATGGTCGGTTTAATATGAATTGAAATTCGGTTTAAAACCAAAATCGCCCAGGGTGCAATACATTAATTCCACCTTATAACGGAGGAGCGAAACTTACATAATTGTTAGACTTTTAAAATTATGATTAATTCACCTATATTAACTATAATTTAAATCTTGTTAGGTAAAATCATTTCTATTCCGATTATTCGATCAGCCGAGTAGAGTACATTCGACCAAAATATCTATTGTAGGGTATATAATCTACGTCAATGCTTTATTTTAAGTATTTCAATTGTTTAACCGCGAAATGTGCTTACTGTCTTATAAGTCTAACATCTAAATTTCTTGTCTTGTTTTAGTAAATATAATTATCGTTCAGCTTCAATGCAAACGAAGGAAGCACAGCAAAGAATGAGATTAATAATTTCAGTCAACGAATGAAGAAGTTTGTAAGTTTTATAAGTTTCATACTGCGGTATTCCAACATGTGACGTCATCGGATCTAGCCGCGTGATTCTGTTAGTTTATAAATTCATTGCACGCAATCGCTTACGTTTTTTACTTGTTTTATTTGCATAAATAACTAAATTTTAATATCTTAAATTGAACTAAGAGGATTGAAAGTATTTAGAATAGGCCGGTCAGAAAAATAAGCGACGGGGAGGAGTTTGAATACTTTTATTTGGAACTTGACTTAATGTGTTCATCGAGCATGTATCACTGTATTTTTTTAATAAACGGTTGTTAAGATTTTTGGACATACTGCAGTCCAAATTTTTCCTATTTTTCCTATCATTAAGAAAGTCGAAAAAAAACGCGATTTCCTACCAACACTGAGCTTTTGGATTTGCACAAGCCTGTTGAGACAGAACTCCTAACAAAGATGGATAGAAATTCTGCCAATTTTAGAAACACGTTCATTCGTACGAGTAGTATAGTATAGATGCTGGAAATTACTGAAAAAAACAACTTGTATTGCAATATTTATCTATTGTGCTTTATATTTATGGCTCAATAGTTTTCCGATAAAGTACTGAAACTCTAATAGTTTATCGCTCTTCTATAGTTGGACATAAATAAAATAGTCACCTATTTATAACGATGATCTATATTTTCTTTTTATTACGTTAAATATTATTTTCAGCTCCAAGAAAATTCTTCAGTGTGTTTATAAACTTTTAAAAGGAACTTAATTTTCATAAACAAAATACGAAATCTTCGTGAATAGAAAATTATAGTATAGGCAAATTACCAAAGCTCCTTGTGTCTTAGACAAGTCGTAACCATAAGCGCAACAGAAAATCAAATAGACCTTCATAAAATATAAGCACGATTATATGTACTGATCGACATGTAACGTTTCATTGAGATAGATGATGCTACTTTCACATATTTTGTCATACCTTCGCTCCCTGTAAGCAGTGTTAGAAATGTACAGAAATAAAATTTGATATTGAAATTTTGATCATTTTGATGAAGTCAACGTTAAAAGAATATAGTTTTACTTATTTATAGCACGTAGGGTTTTTTAAAATCAGTTATTGAACACTTAAAAAAGAATGCTTACTTCCATTAATTTTTTGGAAATGATAATCCCAATATTATTGGTATATTCTTAAAGAATATCCAAGCACATATATTTGTTAAATATTACCAGAGTCCAAATAACGTACCTCTTCGTCGCGAATATCTTTCAGCGTATAAGAGACGACTGTAATTCCCATATTTATGAGGTCACTGGAGGCAACTTCGAAAACCTGCGAAAAATATATATAGATATTTATCTTAGAAAAAATCTTTAAAAATATATTTTATCTGAGTTAGTAGACGGTTTTTGCCGGTCTACTTTAGCTGTAGTTGTCCGACTGTTATTGTTACTGCGAATTCTTTAATCGTTTGTTACTTTCGTTACACGTATTGTCTGTTAAACTTTAAACATTCTACCCAAGCTGATTTTACATAAAAGACACACAAATTGTGAAAGCACTTGTCGCTCCAGATTACAGTTCGATGCTTACGGTTGGCTATCATTTGACGTTATAAGTGGTCATATTTGTATCTTTTCACAAGCTTTTATTTAACTTGCCTCGTTAGTATGATAGTTAGTGCGCAAATCTTGGAACTCAAATTTTACCCACTTCCCAATATCCTATAGATGTGAAATTTTGCATAGACATGGAAGTCAGTGCAATATTATGGTGTCAGTGAGCTGATATGATGATGGAGTCGGAAGGTGATCTTAGGAACTTAGTGACTTGGGCTCGTTAGATCCTCATAAAGACTTATGAGGACTTTGGTGCTGAATACTTACAAGGTCTGGTGATAATGGAGCTAAAAGATAGTCATAGGACCTTAGCAACGAAATAACGCAACCGCATCGTGTTTAAAAAAGTCTTTTAAAAACAAGGTTTTATTTATATGCACTAAAACGTTAATAATAATTTTATGCAAGACAATATTAATTTAATGATATCTTATAACTCTCAATCATGTCGTAATTAATAAAAATAAGCTTAAAGGTATTGTCACTTAGTGTAATATCTCTGCTATTATTAAAGGGACTAAATTTAATTTTTTTCAATGCTGCGATAACCGAGAATCATTTATCAGTTATGCTAGGTGAATATTTATTAACAAGTTTCATAAATTTTATTCGTTCTAGAATCAACGCTCTCGATATAAAAGGATAAATTTACCTTTTTGGAGAAAATTTTTCTATCTTTATATATTTCTTCGACAGTCATAGATCCCATTATAGCACGCTGATGACCTTCGAGGGTCACTAGGGCTATATGTTGAATCTCCTGTTCTGATTTACCTAGAAACTGCTCACACGCGGAGAGCAGCATCTCGGCATTTTGTCCTTGAATTTTCACCTGAAATTAAATTAACAACACTTATTATTGAAGCCCAACAATCATAAGTATTTAGTTGTTTTTTAATAAGTATTATTATTAGCACGTTAATTTGAGTTTAATGTTAAAAACTTCTTTTATAAGTTGAGCGAGTTTAAGGCCCTTTTTAATGCCCCATAATAAAAATTACAGTGTAACAAAAAAGTATATTATAATAAGAATAAAATAAGTAATAAATGAATTGTGGCATACCTGAGCGATGCCTGTGACAGATATCGGAACACCTTGACTTGTGTAGACAGTCGGCGACTCCACTTGGAGAGTCATAGTGTTGAGGGATATTCTTTGCACGTTTTGTATTGCTGGCCATACAAAAGCACGCCCTCCCGGCACCAGAAGAGGTTTCGAATAGCAACATCCTGTAAAAATGAGTCATTTTATTACACAATCATTAAGTCTTTATAAATTGTCGATCTCGGTAATTGACTTAAGTTACTATCGCATCACAAAATTATGGAATGTATTTATAAATGAGCTATGGAGTTTCTGAATAAATAAATAAAAAAAATAAGTTCCCATTTCGCGATACGTTACGATTTTATCTCGTACCGTAGTATATGTAAAACCAAAATTTAACTTTGTTTTATGGAGATAAAATAAAGCAATTTATGTGTACTGTTTGTTAATAAACTGCTATATATATTAATGATAACTGATGCATTCCAATTACTACTCCTTCATTTAGGAATATTTAGTTTATATCGATTTTATGTTACTCTACAATATTATCAACATTTTTCTGTATGGCCCTGAAGATCTGCAGAGCACATTTTGAGAATGCCTACTATAGATACAATATATTGCGATTCTGCAGAACATCAAACATATTTTCAAACGATTCATATTATGACATGGATTTAATTACAATGACGAATTGAAAAGTAAACAATGGCTAACCATTGTATGGTAACGTTTTAATTCTCTATACAAAATTCTACTCCCATTTTCATCCCTATATTTGCAATTTTTCGGGATAAAATATTGCCTATGTTCTCCCAATATGAGTAGGTGAGAGAATTTTTAAAATCAGTCCAGTAGTTTCGGAGCCTATTCGTTGCAAAAAATCAAATCTTTCCTCTTTATAATATTATTTTATTAGTGTAGATGTTTCCATTAATCACCCACGTTGTTGTACATATTTGTTTAGTTAAATCAAACAAGTGTATATTCACAAGATCAACAGATTTTTTGAATAATATAATACTTAAATTGTTGACTACATAAAAATATTATAGGACTTCGCTTTAATTGAAAAAAAAAGGTAGGCCATTACTTAGATTATTAATGTGTTATTTTGTTTTGTATTATCAAAATTAATACTTCCATAAAAATGTGGAATTAAAAGACCCAGGTGATCAAAGTGGAATAAAACATATTGTTGATTTGAAATTAAGCCAATTGGAACATTTTATTTTTCCTCGAACTATTAAAAACTGTCGCATATAAAACAGGTTCAAAGATTATAAACAACGCTACATGTTCTGTTTCTCTCAAGGTCATCACAGTAGTTGCCCTCCTAAAACTATACAAAGGTGTGTTCGTGGCGAACACATCTAAAAATATCTAGCCCGAGGCACAGTACACAAATTACGATGAATCATAATAATCGTATTGATTTCTTACTTTTCCAGTATCTTTTGAATTATTATAATACAGGTGGTAAAACGTTTACAACGTACAAAAAACTACAACGTACTTGAATCTGTATTTTATTCTGAACTTTGATAGATAAAACTACGTATTCCATAGGATCGGTTTAGCCAACGCCTAGTATGTCGTCATAGCACATTCAAGACAATTAACCTTATTTATAAATCGACCAGGGAGCGATGGTTCAAATAAGTATATTTGAAACGTAAAAAGCTTGAACTAGATAAACATTAATTGATAGATTCAATAATATTTTAATAGTTTCGCCATGTCCGTCTGTCCGTCTTTAACTCAAAAATCATTGTTGGCATCGTTGGATAGGTCTTTCAAAAACATTGGGGGTATGGCACGGCCGTTTTTCGATTTAGAAACCCGTTTGTAACTAATTTTCCGTTTGTAACTTGTTAAAGTTAAGTGGCCCTCTTCTACCAAATAAACGGTTAGTAAATCAAACGTTAGGACAATAGTAGAAAAGGAAAACTACACACTTAACTTGGCTTTACAATATTCTTCATCCACTTTGTCCCTTGTACTACATACATTTTTCATTAAGAATATTTTCCAGTATAGCACTGTGAATACAAAAATTGATCAAATATAATAATTGGCTTTACAAATTTACGAGTAAGACCAAACCAAACGTATTTAACTCAAAAATTTCGAACAACTCCATAGAAAACATCAGACGTGATATTTTTTTCATGGATAATGGTACGAAACCCTTCGTGCGCGAGTCCGACTAACACTTTTAAACAAATTAATGTGCTTCTCGATATATATCAACCTGCAAGTAGTGCAATAATTATTGTATTTGCACTATTGAGAAGTCCGACTCTTAAAACATAATTAGTAACACATTTTTTTTACTTCTGAATGATTTTTAACTGCCGTAGGCCATTAGAAAATACTTCATTTCATATACATATATAATACTTTGTTGTTTAAGAGGCAACAGAAACACATAATCTGTGAATATTTCAACTTTGACGTTTCACATGGGTACCAAACTAAAAATGAGACAATAACTTTGGTAGCACAAAATTTTTCCCAACCAACTAAAAAATTATTGTATTTGAGAAATACAATATCAAGTTCAGCACCAGCGAAAAGCTTTTGTATAAAGGTTTTACACCCGTTTTAATTAACCTAGAACAAGACATAACTTAACTATGAAACATCTAATGTCATGAATTGCCTAATCAAACTAAATTTTTTTTTTATTACCCCTTGAATGAACATTTGTTAAATGTCATATTACGGAAATGCTTAGCGCAAGTCGCTGCATAACGCATATCATGACTTTAAATCTCTGTGTTTGTATATTTACGAGATATGTGTCTTTGTACAATCAAACTAAAAACTGATTGTAACAAAAAAAGATACTTGTAATTTTAACACAAGATTTCCTAATAAATTGCATTTGCCATTTATTAGAACTGACTATTATAAGAGAAACTCACATGTAATGTATATTTAATAAATGATTTAAAATTGTTGCCACAAAAATTATTTAAATTACATCTGAAATATGGTTATTTAAATAAGAGATATTATTTGGAACACTTTAATTAAATGATATATAATAGTTGATAATTAAACACATACAAATAGTTTATTTTTAAGTTATTTAAGCATGCTGTTTAATAGTAAAATATGAGATACTTATATTCCTCAACATATTTTTTTGCAATAAATAAATGAGTTAATTTGATTTAGACATTGCTTAATGTCGTTAAGTGGTTCCTAGTTATTGGTAAAATGTGTTTTCAACGTATGATATTCCTTAATATTCCGATGACAGATTTGAGAGACTCGTTAGTTTAATGAAAACAGGCATTCTCAGAACCGCAACATAGGAAGATTTGAGAAATTGGTAATTTTATTTTTAAATCCTTTAATATATAAAGGTAATTGAATTGAAAAGTTATATGTTGTAGTTGTAGTTATACGTTGTAAATATAACTATTTACATATACTAACATATATGTTATAAGAAAATATATTTTGTACTTACATCCTACTTCATTTTCAAATATCATTATTTTTTATTTTTATTAGATTATATTTATGTCATTCCATTTTATGTTCTTCTTTCTGAAATGATTTCATAATCATCTAGGTAACAACAGATTGAATATTTTTGAGAACACAATTGCCTTTAAACCTACCTATGCATTGTTAAAAAAAACAGTTGCCCCTACATTTCAATTTTTTTATTTTTCATTTCATTTTTTTCAAAAATCGTTAAATATGTAACTAACATTGTCAAGGGAATTATGCACTACATATACATTAAATGTGATAATCGCAAATAATTAATTAAAAACCTTTTTCTGGCTAATTTGCTATTCTCTATATCTATCTATCTCTTTGCAGAACCAAATGGAAACAACAGGCTAAGTCTTAGATTTTATATGTTCTCTATATTTAATCTCTTTTTCATTTAATATAGGTTAGTTATAAGTATGACTAGCCATTTGCTTTATGTTTGCCAAATTATCATTTATATTTAAAGATTATTTTAAACATTACAAATATAAGAAATGTGTGTCCAGTCATTACATTTATAAAACTTGCAATTATTGGATTTCCATAAACCAAAAGATAGTTGCTGTTGCTGTAAAAATCCATTGATGTTTGTGGTATCTATGCCAGAGTAGGACTGGTGCCTTTAGAGTATTATTAATTGAAAAAGCTTACTACAAATAAACATTAATGAATAATTTAAAGTTAATGAAACTGACAACATTATTACATTACTTTCAATTTTTTAAAATAATCCATCAATATTTTTGTATAAAATGTGATAATTTGAAATAATAGTGCAGATATAATGGTGGAAAAAAAAATATGATAATTTTAAATGATGTAGCAGAGCCTATTGTTGCAGAAAAGATGGAGTATTTCCTTATGGTTTCTGTTGTTTAATGTATGTTAATATGCAGCAGTACAGACTAAAGAATATATACCTATTACGTTTGAAAGTTGTTTGAAAGATATAAACCTAGATGGATGAATACTAAACATGGAAAAAAAATGAATCAGTACTGTATATGCGTGCCGATATTAAATTATTACAATACAAATATTTTTTATCTATCTAAATCATAATTAAAAAAATATTTATGTTAGAGAGTATCGCAAGGCTAAATAACAAATTAAATAAAAGTTTTCGCTAGATTTGCAATATACACCTAAAAACATACAGTAGATAAAAAAGTACGTAAATAAATCACAACACTTTAAAAAATTATCCGCGAATCAAATTTGCTCAAGATAACACTTAACATCCGATTTTCATACCTGATACAACGAGTGCTTCATTAGGGCCACAAGTGACGAATCCCCAAGCCATATTTGTGAATTATAAATAAAACTAATTTGAAATTAAACAAATATGAGAAATCTAGTAAAAACATAAAACATGCAAATACCCAATGCCTATTTTCTACGTCAAAACACAATCGGCTTGATGAGAATTGGATATTGGAGGGGCGGAGACCACAGACATTAAAGATAAAAATTTCTCTATGCACAACGTGAATAATGTACGTGCCAAAATTCTTATACCTAGGTGTCACAGACCTATTACTGTTATAAGATCTAGATCCTTATTATGACACTACCCAATGAGAACGAATTTTAAAATAAAATTTTGTTCCCGAAATCTAACTAGATGTCGCTACAGTACTTTCTTGATTTCTCCATGACAACCTTGATTTTGCCATGACAACATGATTTATACTTTCATGTTTAAAATAAATGAGGAAGTATTTAAAAAAATAATAAGGAAACTAAAAAACTGTCACTAGATGGCAGCACAAATTGTTGGATCTAAACGTCAATTCATGACGTTAAATCGAGGAGAATAAAATTGACAGTGTTGTTATGGATCTGATAACTCGGATTAATATCGAGATGAAATTTAATTAGTTTGAGTTATGCAAACGCAACTCGATTAATACAAAGTAATCTTTGAGTAAATTTCCTTTTTATTTGTATAAAGGAAAATGGAAACTAACATAATGCAAGTGAGAACAGAGGCTTTTTTAAATTTATGGAAATCAATTGAATTAACGCATAATAATATTATTACCACCAAATAGTTTTTATAAATAAAATACTTATGCCATAGTAGGTCTAGGAATTGTTAAGACAAGTACAGTTATTATACTATTACTACTGATCTTGCATGTCGACGGCCAACGTCGAGCCATGTGTTAATTCGTACGGTGGGTATGTACTTTTTTACTTACAATAATATTGATAATAATAGATTGACTTCCTACACAATTACTCTAGAAATCAGTTTGATTGAAATATATTATTTACTAAGTCTCTTAAAATCTCTGCAGTGGTGTCGTGTGCGTTAGGTCATTACTTTCCCTCAAATATAGTATAGTTGAGTTGTATAGTTGAAATTAAAAAAGCAGCCCTTGCTGTTTCTTGCCGATTCTTGTCAGTACGAGATCTCCCGCCTTAGTTTTGCGAACCATTTCCAAAGTTTTCGACTTTCACAAATAATATGTAACAGCCTAGATTAAAATGATTTTGGTATTAATATTATTCGTTTTGTGAATGCATGATGATTAATATGAAAGTTAGATATTATAAGAAAAACTAAACAATGTCATATTTATTAATTTTCGATACTCAATTTTCTTTTATTACGTCAAAAATAAAATTTGAATGAATATCATAAACAAAATCCAAACATCGCAAGTGACATCTAGTATGATTTCAAGAACTTATTTTTTATTTTTTAAATACTTCATTAATTTTTAAAATTGAATAAAAACTCATATTCTATTAGTACTTTTCGTATTTGTATATATAATACAAATACATAAGTCTATGATTCTGAACATATTTAAATTATGGCTTCGCATCGGATCATGGATACCATGGACACAAAAAAAAAATGACGTTTCAGTATACTGGAAAACACTTGTGATAGCGCTGTGCCTTTTTGATGAGGAAACTGCATGTATATTCGTTAACTCTATAATAAACCAAAAGTCTTAACCAACGTAAAAAATGAACAACTCCATTGTGTCAAAATCACTTCCTATTTACTATTTATTATCGGCGATCTCCACTGGGTTCATCGCTATCTTTCATTCATTTCATTTTCATTTTACCTGTAGAATTAATTTATTCACTTAACATTGGCAGAACTGTGCGAAATGCGCAGATAAGCCATTAATAAAAGAAGAAGAAGAAACTCAAATCAAATCAAATCAAAATCATTTATTCAGTCTAGGCTGTTACAAGCACTTGTGAAAGTCGAGAGCTACGCCAACGGTTCGTAAATCTACGGCGGGAGACCTTGTACCGAGAAGAACCGGCAAGAAACTCGGCAAGGGCTGCTTTTTTCTCCCTGTTTTATTTCATACAGAGCGTCAAGATTGAAAAATGACTTCATTAAAATTTGAAGTCACTTTCCATTACAATATTACACAATATTAAGAGTAAAACAGTATTTTCGTCAATCCAATCACATTTGTAGATAAAGAAGCTCACATTAAAACAATTTAATATATATGAAAAATGAGCCATATTTAACTCCAAGTAGTTTTGTCGTTTAAATATTCATTAATAGTATAATATCCTTTACTGAGTAGACAATTCTTAATATGGATTTTAAACTTAGGTAATGGTAAATTTAAAATTTCCATAGGAATTTTGTTATAGTAGTGTACACCTTGACCCATAAATGACGATAGAACCTTCTTTAGCCTGCATGACGGCAAAACAAGTTTATCTTTGTTTCTAGTATTAAAATTGTGTACATGACTATGTTTAATATAATTGTTTATATTGTTTCTAACATAAAGTATACAATTGTATATGAATTGGGAGGCCACTGTTAATATCCCAATTTCTTTGAATTTATCTCTAAGTGACGTTCTTGAACCCAATTGATAAATGGCCCTTACTGCTCTTTTTTGTAAAATAAATATAGACTCTATATCTGCAGCCATACCCCACATCAGAATGCCATATGACATAACGCTATGGAAATAACTAAAGTATACTGTCCTAGCGGTATCTACATCTGTAAGTTGCCTAATTTTTTTTATTGCAAAGGCAGCTGAACTTAGTTTTCCTGCCAATAATGAAATGTGAGGATGCCATTGCAATTTAGAATCCAGCGTTACACCTAAGAAGATTGTTGAATCAACCAACTCGAGCTTTTCATTATTAAGTTTAATTTCTGTAAGTTCTGCTTTTACATTAGGTAACATAAACTTTATACATTTCGTTTTTTTAGCATTTAACTGGAGATTATTTACAGTAAACCAGGTCATAATCTGTGATAGAGCATTGTTTACATCGTCAAAATTATTTTTACATCTATCAATATTAAATATTAAAGAAGTATCATCTGCAAACAATACTATATCGCATAAAGTTTCGGCAAAAAATGGCAAATCATTTATGTAAGTTAGAAACAGAAAGGGACCCAGAATAGATCCCTGGGGAACTCCCATTTTTACTTGTGATCCAGATGATCTCACACCGTTAATATCGATAGTTTGAGTTCTGCAACTGAGGTACGACAATATTAGTTGTAGGGCGGAATCTTTGATACCATAGTAATTTAGCTTCGTTACTAGTGTTCGATGCTCAACGCAATCAAATGCTTTGGATAAGTCACAAAATACTCCAAGAGCATTCTGTGACGCCTCCCAAGCTAACTATTGTTTAACGATGATATATAAAAAAAGTTTAGGTAGGTTATCTGCGTACAATATTGACTTTCTTCCTTCCTGCGATTTTAAACGCAAAATTTACACATTGACAGTAACATAAGCAAAAAAGATATCGCTACATGCGTAGGTACCATACTTACTTTTTTATTTTAATAAAAATGATAAATCCTCATTGAACGTTGATGTAATCTATATATTGTTGTAGAATCGTTTATATCACTGTTTACTTGCGGTGAGATTAATGCACTAGAGTTACCTGGAATGTGATCAGCATGTCTTCTGCGTAAAACACTGTCGGTGTGTTTTTATGATATAGGAATATCTGTGTGTTTGCCTCTCCACTGTGGCTGGTTGCCATTTCTTATCATCTCTAGTTTTAACGTAAACATTTTTTTCAGGTTGGTAGTTTTTAGAATTATTTTCTGACATGATGTTTGGTTTTATTTGTCTATGTTGTAGAGTTTTTCTAATACAGGGTCGAGCATTATCCAAAATGCAGTTGAGTTGTCGTACAAACATTAATTGAGCTGGAGAGTTCAGGGTAGAACTGTGTGGAGTGTTTCTATATGTAAAAAGAAAATTCCGTAATTTCTCTATTAGATCGTATTATGTGTCGAGTTCACTGGTCTTCCTTGTTTTGAAAGTTCGCACTAGCCGTTCAGCTAATCCATTGGTGCGTGAGTGATATGGAGATGATCTGATATGCAATATCCCCCTTTTCTTGCAGAACATTGTGTAGATTCCTGATGTAAATTAAGGTCCATTATCAGAAACAATAATCTGTGGCAATCCAAAGGTGGTAAAGATGTCGTCAAGTTCACTGCACAATCTATCTGTTGTTGTCTTGTTCATTGGTTTTATCTCGACTCACTTAGATAAAGCATCGCATAAAACTAGCCAATATTTTCTTAGAAATGAACCTGCAAAACCGATGTGTAGTCTTTCCCATACAATTCCCATACAATTGGTTTGGAATTGACCATGAAAATATGGGTAGCTCTGAGTTGTTCGGTCTATTTTCTTGGTCTATTTCGATTGATGGCCACCAAACATAAAATCGTCCAAGTGCTTTCATGGATGATATTCCTGGATGTTGCGTTTCTCATTGAATGCAGAATAACAATTCTACCTTGCCATATTATTATGTCATTTTCAACTGTTAATTCATCGCGTTTCTTAAAATATAGTTGTAAATTATTTTCATCATATTTGTAGGTATTTCAATTTGTTCTTATGTATAATTTTACTTTCGACAATATTGTGTCTATTAGTTCCCAATAGGTGTATAAGGTGTTTGTGGTCTGTGACTAATGTGAATTTCGTTCCCCGTAGATATTGAGCAAATTTTGTTATACCGAACAATATTGCTAACGCTTCTCTATCAATGACAGAATACTTGCTTTCTGCTTCTTTCAATTTTTCGATTGGCTTTTCAATGCCGTTAATTTTGTGGTATAAAACAGCTCCGATTCCTTTTTCTGAAGCATCACACGCTAGGTAAAGAGCTTGTTTGTCATTGTAAGGAATGAGAGGTTTGGATCGCGTTATACATTTTTTGGTCTCTTCAAAAGTAGCGTTTTCTTTCTCAGACCACTTCCACTTTTTTATGTTTATTAAAGAAAAGATAAAGCTCGGATTGGAAGTATAAAATACGAGTATAATAGCAAAACATAAAGACTAGAGAGATCGAAAAACTACCAAGAAGTCTTCACTTCTTAACATCCCGTCTCGTTTTTCAAACCTATT